CCTAAACCCCTATAAACCCTAAGCCTTAAGCCCTGGGCCTCAGAGCTGATATGCTCAATATACGCCAGACTGGGCCCTTTCGAAAATCGTGCAAAGCCAAGAACAGGAGCCCTTGAATCCAAGCTTAGAAGTATGGGCTTGATCCCTAAACCTTTAAGGTTTAGGGTTTAGGGTTTAAGGTTTAGGGTTTAGGGGTTAGGCTAAGGTTAGAAGTATGGGCCCCTAATATGGACCCCTAGGCCTTTCTAGGGACCCTTAAGAGTACATATGGGGTATCTAGTAGGTGTATGAGGATCCTGGGGTCAAGGGCCCATACTCGGGGCCCATGGGTTCAGAACCGATTATAAATCCATCAAAAGGCAAACCTAAGGCCTAAACCCGAAACCCTCAACCCTAAACCCTCATAAGAACCCAAACCCCAAAACCCCAAAAGGAACCCTCCCTCAACCCTAAACCCTAATGAGAACCCCAAAGGGAACCCACACCGACAAAATAAACCCAGTTAAAAAAAGGCTCAAAATCCGATCCATCACGGGCCCGGAGGGGCTTCTTTTGTGGTGCGCAAGATGCATGACAGGATGGGCCGCTGACTCAGTGGGCTTTAGTTTTAGGTTACGGTTTAGGGTTTAAGTTTAGGGTTTAGGGGCGGTGACTCGGAGGGTTCAGGGTTTCAAGGGGACATCTTTGGAGGTTTAGGGTTGGGGGGAGCCGATCACCAAAAAGCGGTTTATAGGGTGACGTTGGACATGAGCTTTGCCTTTGGGGAGGTTTAGGGCTTCTGTTAAGGGTTCAAGGGTTCAGGAGGACGGATGCTTCAGACGGACATCGTTCTAGGAACCGCAGAGAGAGAGAGAAAGAGAGAGAGAGAGAGAGAGCGAGAGAGAGAGAGAGAGCCCAATGCCCCGTAATTCAGGAATTCTCCCAACATCATAGCATCTGTTCCCCTTTTAGCTTCCTTATTTAAGGGGTCTTGGGCGTATTGGGCTCTCGGCTTTAGGGTTTAGGGTGTCCCCCTATGCTAACCCTTAAACCCTAAACCGGCGCTGTGCAGGAGTGGCACATGTCTCGATCGCCGATGATGAACCGAAAGTGGTGCTGGAGCTCCAAAATACCTCAGATCTTTGGGCTTTCCGCAAAACCCTTGTACCCTGAGAACATACTTACATTTCACGGTTTAGGGTTTAGGGCTATATCGATGAATGTTATTGTATATCAGCATTCTTCTTATCAGTAGTATTTAAAGCAACTAAATCCTCATTAACAGACTCTCTGGGTTGAGCGAAGGCTGAGAGTGTTTCGGCGACGGCTTCAGGCTGACATAGATCCTCAATGCCAAGGCCTAGCTGGGTTCTACTATAACGAAGATCTAGCATAAATTACGATGGCTTCAGCTACATGGGGATTTCTGAAAATAGGGGACCCTAATATAGTACCCTAAATAGTAGGATCCCTATTATAAGTAC